TTTGGTCTGAGAGGGTCCAGATCCAAGTGGAGGAGCAAGCGGGGTTAGGAAATCCAGTGATCGGTCCAAGGTCAGAGCTGGGAGATCAGAGAGCCAGTAACCAATCCAAATCACAATCCAAGTTGTGGGGTCCAGAAAACAGAAACTGTTGGTAGCCAGGGATCAGAGTCAGCGTTAGAATCAGGCAAGGAACAGGCAGGAGGCGAAGGTCGAGACGCAGGCCGTGGGTCAAAAACGAGAGATCAGGCGCATGGATAAAGCACTGGACATCTTCTGGGCCAACCGTTCAATAATCTGGCAAAGAGTGAGTGTGGGCTTGGAGCCTAAATAGGGGAGTAAACAGGTGAAGCAGATGAGGCTGATTACTGAGGCACTGAATGATGGGGCGTGATATGAGCAGAGAGCCAAGCATGAGTGACAGGAGAGCAGAAACAGATGGAGATCTGTCCCCCGCACTTTTTTTTCTTACCTTTACAACTATTTAATCTGCTATTAAGATGCGGTAACGCATTTTTCCGAGCTGTCTTTAAACGCACCATGAGAACGTGGTGCCAGGTGAACACGTGGATCACAGAGGGGTGCAGAGCTGGCTGACTGTGAGCTCTGGAGGATAAGAATGGACGGTGTTCTGTCGGGTCAGGCTGCTGCTACACAGCCACTTATTCTTTTACCCCATAAAATGCTGCTGGTTCTGACGCAGCCACCTTCACAGCAACGGGTGGATGAAACTAACGTTCAATGCGAGCAACACCCCCCCCCTCCCAAATTGAAAAACAAGAAGAAAGGGTGAGGCTTGGTTTATGAGTTAAAATTACTTAATAACGATCTGATATTTTTGAAAAGCTGCTTATTAAATAATCTTTTACGAACTAATTAGTATTTTTATCTGTAGGTTGCACGATGTTATGTTAGTTTTGGTTATGAATACATCCATCAGTAAATTTAGATGATTATCATAATTACATCTATTTATTGGGTAAAATTATTAATATTCTTATTTTTAAACATGTTGTTGTCAGCACTGCTTGGC